AACATACAAAATATATAAATGCATCTCAACAATTTCACAACAAACAAACAGCCTATTACCAACCATTGAAAGTAATCAATACTCTCTATGCGTAAGAAATGTAAGACCCAATACAATTATAATTAACCCACAACTTTCTCTCTCCACTTATTTATTTTTACCCCACACACCACCACCCCCCAACACAACCCACCACCCAACAGCCAGAAAAAAACCCCACCCACCCTACAAACATTCACCAATGAAACATATCTAAATTATTTCTAATGGCAGTCTTAATCGTAAGCATCCATACACATCCATATACACATTTGATATTTCAACAATTTTTCACAACCAACACTGAAACAAAATAACACCGAATGTGACAAAAGAACCTATCTCATTTTCTATGACGTATATAAAATGCTAGAAACCATACCACAAATCAATATAAACACCCTGATATATACACCAAGTCTCTATCGACGACAGAGCAACTCATCTCACTAGAGAAGAAATATATTTTCTATGCATTTAATGTTGAATCATACAATATACAACTGTTTCACAATTTTCACACAACAAACATTCACCATGAAAGTATATATTTTTCTATGTGTTTAATGTAGAACCATACAATATACAACTGTTTCACAATTTTCACACAACAAACATTCACCATGAAAATATATTTTTTCTATGCGTTTAATGTAGAACCATACAATATATACAACTGTTTCACAATTTTCACACAACAAACATTCACCATGAAAGTATATATTTCTATGCGTTTAATGTAGAACCATACAATATATACAACTGTTTCACAATTTTCACACAACAAACATTCACCATGAAAGTATATATTTCTATGCGTTTAATGTAGAACCATACAATATATACAACTGTTTCACAATTTTTACACAACAAACATTCACCATGAAAATATATATTTTTCTATGCGTTTAATGTAGAACCATACAATATATACAATTGTTTCACAATTTTCACGCAACAAACATTCACCATGAAAGTATATAATTGTCAATGCGTTTAATATAAAACCATTAATATACAATTGTTTTACAATTTTCACATATTAACCATTAACTATGAAAACATATATTTTTCTATGCATTTAAAATCACACAACAATAATCTACTATGCAAGTACATTGTCTATGCGTTTAATGTAGAATCATAAAATATACATTTGTTTCACAATTTTCACAAAACAACCATTCTCTATGAAAGTATATTATTTTTCTATGCGTTTAATATAGAAACATACAATAATATAAGTGTTTCACAATTTTCACACAACAAACATTCACTATGAAATTATATATTTCTATGCGTTTAATGTAGAACCATGCATTATATACAACTGTTTCACAATTTTCACACAACAAACATTCACTATGAAATTATATATTTCTATGCGTTTAATGTAGAACCATACACTGTTTCACAATTTTCACACAACAAACATTCACTACGAAAGTATATAATTGTCAATGCGTTTAATATAAAACCATTAATATACAATTGTTTTACAATTTTCACATATTAACCATAAACTATGAAAGCATATATTTTTCTATGCATTTAAAATCACACAACAATAATCTACTATGAAAGTATATTGTCTATGCGTTTAATGTAGAACCATACACTGTTTCACAATTTTCACACAACAAACATTCACTATGAAAGTATAAAATTTTCAATGCGTTTAATATAGAACCGTACAATATACAACTGTTTTACAATTTTCACATATTAACCATTAACTATGAAAGCATATATTTTTCAATGCATTTAACATCACAAAACAATAATCTACTATGAAAGTATATATTTGTCTATGCGTTTAATGTAGAGGCATAACAAAAAAATATGTGAAAATATCAGACAAGATACATGTAAAGGACTGGTGAATGATCATGCATAAAATCCAAACTGCTATTATCAGTGATCGGACTAGTATCTGTCAAAATTTAATGCCAATTAAAATACAAGGAAGATAAGCTGACTATTTTTTCACGTTGTTTGAACTTTATTTAGAATACAACTGCGACACGTGCAGTCTCGATACTAGGCGTGTTAGGTATATTTTTCACAAATAATAATTAACATTATCTTTAGAAATTTGCAGGTTTATTAAGATGACACCAATAACACTATAAAGATTAGTTGATTTATAATTTCTAACATGAATGCCATCAATGTTGATTTATACATTTCTTTCAGGGGAGGACCGATCGCTATTGGTTGGAAGATCTTGGGTCCAACCATTTTGCTATTTGTTATTTCGGAATCAGTTTGTTTCTCTGTATAATTACATGTATATATTAGCAAAAAAATTGACTAAACAACAACAAATAAATAAATAAATAAATAAAAAAAAATAATAAAAAAAATAAAGAAAATGAATTTCAATGAATTTTATCGTAATGGTAAATTTATATATCACAAAGAAATGTTTTGTTAATTTTTAGAAAACAAGTTACGCTACTGTATGTCTCTAACTTATTTCAAAAGAGATATTATTAAACATCATCTCTGCTACTATTTTACCATTAAGACTGATATAAATTATACATTGCAAAATATATGTATGTTTTACCAGTACAAAGTAAAGGGTTTAATAGTACTTTCTGTACACAATCAATTATTTAACTTATATGATGTCAAACAACTAAGAAAGAACTAAGTGTTAGCAGTGATTACCCTCCTGAAAACAGACATGTCAGATTTCCTTCAGAACAATTTTGCTATAGAAGGGGTTTGTCAAAAATGTCATTTTTATTTTGAAAACCTCATTTTACGTACAAGAGCTTACTTCTTGTTTATTAATAAAACACAATTATTTTAGAAAACACAATGACAAAAAGAAAAAAAAAATGTTTTGAATATAAAATATGACAATGCCTCCAACCTTTCTTTGAATATCATTTTGATTTAAACAAATTCTAACAGGACAAGATATACATTTAAACAAACACAAAAAGATGAAATTAAAATATTTTTTAAATTATTTTCGTGTTGTCACGTGATCATCTGCTGACAAAGGGTTAAATTTTTGTCACGTGATAATATTTCTACTGATTATATGATGTCACGTAATTTTATGATGTCACATAGTTATATACGGTGACATCTTTTAATGTTGTTACATGATAATATTATGTCAGTGATTCTAACTCACCAATCAGATAACTGACAATGTCAATGTCTTACAGCAGACTTCAGTCATAAATAAGACTTCTAAACTCACACCATGCCTTATGCAACGTAAAACTGATAATTATAAAAATGTTCCTTTGATTAATGAGCTTTTCTTTTGATTACTTATCTTATTTCCTTCTTATCATCATTGATGACGTTCTCAATGCATAATCTCCATCAAACCCGGAATATATGTGTCCACATTTAAGTGCCATGTCACCAGGAATTTTACAATATGTACCTGGCGTTGCATATAATCCATTAAGATTGATAGCAGTACAACCGTTATACCACCAGGCTCCTTGTTTCTTTACAGCGCAGTTATTGTTAGATGTGTCGAGGTCACGGTCGTAAGTTGAAAATGGCATTTGATTATTATAATCAAATCTAATTGCTGCATAGAAATAAAAATACATTATTAGATCTAATTAGGCACTGCCATTGTCACAAATACGTCAGGACAGTTAACATGTTGACAAACCCAAAATTTCATAAACAACATACACCACACCTCATTCTATTCATCACGGATACTATACAGTACAATTATAATAATATGTGTTTATGCCAAAACAAATATTAACAGTGGAACCACAAATATTTGTTATTTACCTTGTTTGAGTTTTCTGAACAAGGTCAGAAAAAAATCTGGAAACAAAGTGATCCCTCGGAAGCATTAATCACAACAAAATTACAAGAAAATTGCAGACTCGGTTTGATTGAGTGTGTACATGAGGGATAATGAATAATTGCAACATCCCTCACTCCCCCTAGCACCGGCTTGAGCGGTCTGCTGAACAATATCAGTGTCAGTGGAAAACTTTGCTCCATCAGAGACCAGGTTCATTAGTCAGCGAGTTAATGAAGAATTATGATTGTAAGATCTTATATTGTGCATATCTACTGCTTTCTTTGCAAATTCATAGATATTAAGATATAATGTGTTTACGAACATTCAATGACGATCTCTAAAATGACGAAAGCAAAATTGAATATTTCATGTCAGGCAAAATATAGCAACATAAAAATTTCAGACATGAATTGGTTCTGCTATGAATAAGATCAGAATGGTGAGTCTGTTTACAATACTATTCTATTGTTATTCTTATTGTTATTGTGACATGTCACATAGATTTGCTTTCATTTATTTTTTCAAAACCTGTATACTTTAAAAACACGGTACGCCAAAGAAACGAATGAATTAGAAAAGAACAATGGTTTCAAAGCATGTTAGGTGATTTTTACCTTAAGAAAGTAGCAATAATTGTGAAATTATTTGTCATAAAAATAGACACAAAATGTAAACTAGGTAATATTTTGACTTAAATACAAAATTATAAAACCACTATATCTGTACTATTTGCCAAAACCAACAGATTGAACAGATGATTCACGTTTTCAGCCAATGACTCGTGTTTCGGAAACAAAAAATAAAATCTTTTGAGAAACAAAAATAAAAACATTTTTAGGAATAATGCGCCTTTAAAAAACTGTATAATCTATATGAGCCACGCCATGACAAAACCAACATAATGGGTTTGCGACCAGCATCTGCGCAGTCGGATCAGGATCCATGCTGTTCGCTATCAGTTTCTCTACTTGTTATAGGGTTTGTAAGCGAATAGCATGGATCCTGATCAGACTGCGCGGATGCACAGGCTGGTCTGGATCCATGCTGGTCGCAAACCCATTATGTTGGTTTTGTCGTGACACGGCTCATATAACATCGCAAATCAAATATTCTAGTCGTCAGAGATTCTGTTTACAGGTCTAAATTTTTCTATGAAAAAATGAATTGATATTTGCAACATACTGTACCTTCTGTCAACCGCTTACTTTTTTATTGGTTTTATATCGGTTGTGCTTTCATTTAGCTAAGTACATGTAAACAAAAATGTAATAAAAAAGAAGCATAAATATATTACTTTCTATCCCAACACCTGAACAGGACCCAATGTTAAGTGTATATTTTGTTCCTTCCGTTAACTTAAAGTCTGGACAAGTTTCATGTCCTGTTCTACTATCACTGCTTGTCATGTCAAGACGAATCTCTGTAGAACCTTGTCCAGCTATTTCTTGTATATACTTTAGACCTGCGAAATTGTATCAAATGTAAATATAAATATTTAGGAATTTACCAACATCTTTATTATAATTCATTCTTCAACACATATTACAAAATTACAAACCGTTACAATCATATAACATTCCATTCTATTTATAAATATTTAAACTTGATCAGTTGTCGTATCCAATAAATACATACATGTATGCACAACTCATGTTTATCAATACACTTTAACAACGTATGTTTATCAATACACTTTAACAACATATGTTTATCAATACACTTTAACAACTAAACGTTTATCAATACACTTTAACAACGTATGTTTATCAATACACTTTGACAACTTATGTTTATCAATACACTTTAACAACTTATGTTTATCAATACACTTTAATAACTTATGTTTATCAATACACTTTAACAACTTATGTTAATCAACACACTTTCACAACGTATGTTTATCAATACACTTTAACACCATATGTTTATCAATACACTTTAACAACTAAACGTTTATCAATACACTTTAACAACGTATGTTTATCAATACACTTTAACAACTTATGTTTAAGAAATAATATCGGTCTTAGCGGTGTTTATCGGCTATTTAACACCGGTTTGGAGTTTTTGAATATCTGTACTACGTTTGTTTTGATATGCCAATGCTACAAGGAATCAAAGAATGTCTAACATACCAAGCCACAGCTCTCCTTTAACGTTCCCAAAGCCATTCTCATAGTCTGTAAAGTTGCGATAAAAGTCCACTGACCCGTCCATTCGCCTGTGAAATATCTAGAAGAAATCCAAACTGAATGAGCTCTTGTAAATTATGTATATGTAACTAAGTTTGTTTAACGTAAGTCTTATATAGCTAAGGGTTGCAGGTCACTTCATAAAGTTCATAGTAAGAAGGACTTAAGTGCTTATTCTTTAATTTGCTATCAATCGGATTCGAGAGAGCGTGTGTAGGACCGTGTATCACGCGACAGTTACGCACGCTTTTTCTTCTAACACCTAGGTCACCGTGTATAACCAGTAACGTCAGAATGTGAAAATAACGCACGATTTTTGCAATAAGTAACGCAGAATTGTGCAATAAATGACGGCTACCTGACAGGATTTTCAAGTAAACCGGTCAATATATTTTTTATTTAACCGAACTGAAAAAAATCAATAGCTGCATACGGCTGCAAAGACATTACTCTTCATCCCTAAGAAAAGAAATCACATTTTCCGGCGTTACCGCGAAGCACAATTCACGTACATCGGCGGTACCTCATTCACATTTTATCATTTTATTTTCAATTTTCTGTATCACAAGAAGTTAAGTTTATGTCACTTTCCTACTGAAAATCTAAATTATACGGAATAATAAGCATTGTGGTATTTATAAGAGCCGACAAAAAGCCAAAATCTCGCTCAAAACGGTGATCAAGTCATCATTTTCACAAATGATCTTGAAAAGTAAACAATTTCGTGGAAATAATCTTGATGAGGGATATAGAGTTATGTGTTCGCAGTCGTATGCAGCTATTGATTTTTTTAAGTTCGGTTAAATAAACAATATACATATTGGCCAATTTTCTTATCGCGTTGAAAATCCTTTCAGGTAGCCGCCATTTATCGCACAATTCGGCGTTACTTATTGCACGAATCGTGCGTTATTTTCACATTCCGGCGTTACTGGATATACACGGTGTAGGTACAAGGAAATATGTTTGAGTAGAAGATTAAAAACACGCTTAGTTGTCCGAACTTATGCGATATCCGAAATTTGACGGATTTACCCTAAATGAATGTTAAAATAGAAATGTTTTAAAAGTAGATCTAAATATATTAACAAGTAATCACGCAAGTATGTGGGACAGGAAAGAACAATATGCAAGTCAAATTCTGTAATAAGATAATCTACATACCGTCCAACCTCCGCCTTCGGTTTCCATGTCACAATTCACAGTCAGAGTCTTCCCAGATGTCCAAAGTTTTATCTCATATTGTCCACTTTTTGCCTCCGGAAACTTATCAAGGACTTCTTTACAATCACTTAATGCTAGATATACGCAAATAGCGTAAAAAGTATTTCTAACAAGAATTAAGTCTTCAGCCAGTGAATATGATACTACACCCAAAACGTTCCGTTGTCTACTGTTTGGACCAATGAGATTGCAGCTATATTTAGATAATATAATAACAAAAATATATGGACATTGTCTAAAAGACTTCATCCAATATATCCCCTATTTTTCTATTTATACATAAAAAACTTTAAGATAGTAATTATTAATAATCTATTGATTTATTTGCATATGGATTTAAGTGCCAAAGTAAATGTTTTGAAAGACCGTCTAGCCAGTAAGTTTTATTCTACCGTCATGGCTAATTATTAATTATTTAACTATTTAAATACGTTACATTTACACGTTGCAGGCATTATATTTGCAACCTTATTAATTGCTTATTAATTGTTTTGCGGCGGCGTGCCGAGTGGTTAACGCGTCGGACTAGTAAAAAAAGATTTCTGACCCTGTCAGAGGCAAGCCGTTGTTTCCTTAAACAAGAAACTACATGCATTGCTTAGTACTGGTTGGTTCAGGAACATATTCGAGAGTGTTTCAATTAGCTTATACCTTCAAACACAATCGAAGTAAAAATAATTTATACAAAATAATTTCTTGGTTTAATTACAGAAACTTTCCACCTGCGTATCTGCTGAAAGAGACATACTTCTGTAAGATCCATATTTCATTATATGGAATAGGAAAAGGGAGAGATGATCTCTCGTATCAATATTTTTTTCACAATAATTTATTACACATGCTACAGACATGAAAATATTGTAACATTTATTTTTATCCCAAGGTACATTAAATTTTCATCGTTTCCGTTTTCAAAGGTTGTGCATATTATAACAATTGATAAACTGATGTACTTACGCTAGGCCATTCGCTGATATCAGTGAAAATTGAGCCTCTTTTTGTTTCAAACTCGGATGGATCAACAGACGACTGGTCAGCATCGTTTAATTTGCAATGTGCTCGTTTCTGTCATAGTCGATGGATTTGCAGATGGACATTGACATACAGGTTCGCGCACAGTCGTGATGGTTTTTATCATTAACTTCTAATAAGGAATGACCGATCAAGGCTTTATTAAGATTGTCCTTTTTCATTTCAAAAGTATTGCATTTGCTTGAAAAAACTGTTCCGAATAAAACAGCGTTAATAATGACAATTCCAGCAGTCACACCCATTGTATTAACATGAAACAAATTTGTTAATAGCCAAGAGATATAGGAAACAGCGATCGTTCCTAACACACAGAAAAGTCCCGCTTGTATGTTATGTAAAATGTGTGCAATATATACGAGTAAGGCTGCTTAACATTAAAAGTATAAAATATGGCCTTGTTATTGATCTTTGGTGAATCATCCAATTAGAAAACAGTCACGTGTTTCATTGATTCAGTAAATGCATAACAACCAAGTATTTGGTTTGGTTTACATACACAGAACTTTCGCAAACTAATCTATGTAACTCAAGTCATTTTTTGTAAACACAAACCGGTGCAACGAAGCACAATGACATTAATAGAGTTATGACAACCGACAATTATTTTCAAAACACCATTGACTCCCCTGTGACTTCCATTCTCAATTGGTTGACTGCCTCTAACAAAGAATGGCCCCCCGATAGTCATTAGAGTGAATTTGTCCATAATGGAAGGTCTTCAATACGATAAATAAATTGTGTGACACGTCACAGTATTTGGTATCATACAAGACAACAAACCGTAAAAGAAATATATATGACAGTTGTTGTAAAATATGAGATACATGATCCAATATATATAAGATATGAATTTATTCTTGAACAAAATATTATAATTCATCATATAAATACTCATACTAAATCATAGAAACATTTCATAAGAAAATACAAATTGTTCTTTGTCCATGTTTGAAAAAATGTGCCCACTGTAAACCAATCCACTCTAGCGAGATTTCAATTACGATTCGTTTATGATATGAAACAGGCAAGTCAAGTCAACAAGTCAAATAGTTTATTGGCATAAACATTTTACACGTTCATCGCCAAGTTATATGAATGGCGGTTTATAATTTAACATAAAACAATGCATATACAATTACAAATTTTGTAATAAATACATGTACAAAACATACATAATATTTAAGTACAGAAAAGTATGGTGATGGATTTAACATAGCTATATAATTACAGGCAAATAACAGTGAAACACAAAGAACAACATTGATTTTCAAATTAATATTGTTTGTAAATAAAGAAAAAAAATATTAACAGAAAACTAGACAGTATTTTCTTTTTTCAAATGATAAGTGAATATATTTAGCTAATTTATAATAACGTTTTTTAGAAGAAGCAGTCATTATACTTTTAAATTTGTTTATATTTGGCCAAGTATAATAGTATCTTGGTAAATAAAGTGCTCTTAAATCAGAATAATATGGACATATCAATAACAGATGATACTCATTTCAACCACTTTCATATTACATTTCACACATAATCTATTGTTTCTATCTATATTTCTGAAGCGACCTTTCCTCTATAGCTAATCTATGAGCCGAACATCTAAATCTTGAAAGGGATTTTCTATGTTTATCATTTGTTATAAAACTAAGATATTTTTCATAACCAAAATCAGTTTTAATTTCTTTATAAACTTTTAATTTTCTAGATACACGCAGTTCAGCATACCAATTTTGCATATTTTGATCTTTAATACGTTGTATAATACTATTTAATTGAGAATTATTTTAATACTAAGTTTGGATCCCACAAATATTGTAAACCAAGCGAATTTAAACAAACGTTTTACATTTAATGTCCAGGCATTGACTAAATTATCATTCTGGTCTTTTAAATACATAATTTTATACATAAGTGTACCTGGGGTTTTTCCTAATTCTAGACCAAAATTTTATTATTCTGATATTACGAATGACTGATAATGGAAATTTACCCAATTCTCCATAAACGGCAATATTTGTTGTTTGTTGACAAACTCCTAAAATCTGTTTTAGGAACTTAAGATAAACGCGCTCTATGTCTGGGCTATTATGAAAACCCCAGATTTCACATCCGTATGTCAATATTGGTAAAACCATTGACTCAAAAAAGTTTAATTTTTTCAGTAACATCAAGATTAACTACATGAAAAAGAGAATTCAGTGAATACAATGCCCTTTGTCGCTTGATGGGACAATACCTTTTGAGTTTGATAGTAGCTTCCATTTGCTGATAATGTGACACCTAAATATGTAAATTTTTGTACAACCTAATTTTTTTCATTATTATAAAAGAACTCAACATTATCATTCCTGTTACCGTTTTAAAAACCATTGTGGCAGTCTTATCAACATTAACAGTAAGTCCCCATTCAGTACAGTATTGGTTTAATTTGTTAAGAAGTAATTGTAAACCTTCCTGTGTATAAGAAAATAAAACAGTATCATCGGCAAATAATAACAAAAATATCTGCAATTCATCTAGAGTAAAAACATCAATTGCTTCATTCTCCATAAAATCATTCATATCATTGACGAAAAATATAAATAGAAGAGGAGAAAGGGGTTCTCCCTGTTTAACGCCCATATAGCTATCAAAATAATCAGTTAGTGACCCAGAACTACTCGAAAGTTCGCAAAGTGTCGCGTTCTACCTTAACACTATTATACATACTTTGTAATATTTTGATAATCTTACAAGAAATTCCATAAGTTATCATTTTATACCAAATACCATTTCTGTAGACAAGGTCAAATGCCTTTCGAAAATCAACAAATGCTGAATAAACCTTTCTTTTTTCATGTTTAATTATTTTATTAATGATGGATGTCAATACAAAGACACAATCTACAGTTGATTTACCGGTTCTAAATCCAAATTGATTATCAGTAAATATATTATTGCAGTCAGCCCACTTACGTATACGTGAGTCAAGTAAAATTGAAAAAAGCTTAGAAAAAAATACTTGTCAGAGTTATTGCCCGATAATTGTTTACATCATTCAAATTACCTTTTTTTGGGAACAGGAATAATAATACCTTTAGTCCAGGTCTCCGGATATTCACCGGAAGAGAAAATAAAATTGAAAAAGCTTACATAAAGAAGGTGCAAGAATATATTTACATTCTATAAACATTTCTGCAATCAAATTATCTTCTCCTCCACTTTTACCTACTTTAAGTGCTGATATTGCTTTTATAATTTCATTCTACAGTAAAATCTTTATCAAGTTCTTCAATATTAATATCATTATTATTTCGAGATATATCTTCTTCTACATGATCACTCATATATACATTTTCATTAGCATATAAAGATTTAAAATGGTTATAAAAATCTTCTTTTGAAATACACGTCTCTTTATTATTCTTTCTAAAAAAAATTTTTTTATTTCAGACCAAAATTTTTGAGGTTGCCCTGTAGCTAATCTATGCAATTTTTTCTCTGTTCAATATTAAATTTAGCTTTTGCCCGCCGTTTTGCTAATCTAAATAATCTCCGCTTTGTAATAATAAGTTCACGATTACAGGCTGAGCGGTTAATATTATACAAAGTATTTGCACGCTTCAGTTCACGGCAATAATTGCTCTAAATTGAACAACAGACTGCGTGTTTCATTAGCAAAAAAAAAAATAGTCTATGCTTTTATGGCCGTACTGTTTGTTAAGATTCTTTTATTTCCTTCGATATTTGTAGAGCATAACAATTACACGTACAACAAAACAAAACTCTAGAGAATGGACAGGAAATATTAGTAATAACGTCCTAGCCAGTTACATCAAGAGGATGTAATAATCCGACGAATAAACAAGTGCATTACGATACATGTATATGACACCTTAAAAGACCACTATCTGCACTTTGTTAAGGCTAAAAAATATATCGTTGAAGTGATTAACATTCGCTGAGGAGCCATGCGATTGCTACCTACGGATTCCTTATTCACTTACTCACTATACTAAAGTGCGCAATATGGACTCTTGTTTAAAGGCCCATTATGCTTCAGAAATGCTTTTGATTTTATTTCTCAATTTTGGTGTTCTTTTATAGTATCCAAAAAGTTATTCATTGACCAATTACCTGAACCATCTTTTTCATGTTTTGCGTGTTGGCAATGTGTAGTTATAGTGAATTAGTATCATGTATGAAAGTCAAAATTTTACGATGTTTACATTTTGCTACTTTTATAACAAATTATATATACATGTAAATGTTACATGATTGTATCGCTACTTTCTTCAGATAACAAGTATCTAACATTT